GCCTCCAAGCCATTGCCACAGTGGCCCTACTGGTCCCAGAAGCCACCAAATTAACCCTGGCGAATGATTCACACCCCACACAACGTGGCAGGATTACTGTCCTCTAGGGGGAGCCTTTGGCTAACAGACAGCCGGCTCCTTAACTATCAGGTTCTGCTGTTGGAGATTTCCACGGCTGAGTTAAACACTTGTTCTCTCCTAAACCCAACCACTTTCCTTCCAGCGGAAGCTGGGGAAACTGAACATGACTGTGAACAAGTTATAATACAAACCTATGCAGCCAGAGAGTATCTCAGGGAAACTCTCCTAGAAAATCCCGACCAGACCCTCTTCACAGATGGGAGTCCTTTTGTAGAGCAAGGAATCCACAAGGCAGGATATGCAGTAGTCACTGTAAATGACGTCTTTGAAAGTGTGTGTCTCTCTCCAGCCACAAGCACTCAATTAACTGAACTGATAGCTCTTGCCAGAGCACTTGAATTAAGCAGAATAAAGGTAGGTAACATTTACACTGGCTCCAAGTATACTTTCTTAGTTCTCCATGCTCATAGTGCCATTTGGAAGGAAAGGCACTTTCTTGCTGCTGATGGATCTCCTATAAAATACCACCAGGAAATCAGCAGGTTTCTTATCCTCAGTTTTCCTTCCATGAGAGATAACAGTGATGCATTGTAAGGGACATCAAAAGAGAAAAGATGAAGTAACCAAAGGAAATAGGTTGGCTGATCAGGCAGCTAAGTCAGCAGCAAGGAAGCCTCAAGACAACTATGGACTTCAAGCCCCTCTGGGAAGGCCCCATAGAGAAATTAAACCTCACTACTTCCCTGCAGAAATAGAATGGGCCGCTTCTCGAGTGTATACTTTCCAGCCCTCAGGATGGCTACAGTCAGGATGGCAAACTCCAGTTGCCCGCCTCCAGTCAATGGAAAGTCCTTAAAATCTTTCATCAAGCTTTTCACTCGGGAAAGGATAAAACTTACCGATGTGCAGAGAGATTGTTTTCAGGAGAGAACTTACCAAAAACAGCCAAACAGGTTGTTAATGCTTGTGAAGTCTGCCTTAAAAATAATCCCTTCAACAGGTGGCTCCTTCCTCCTCAAACCCAAAGAATAGGAAGCTATCCAGGGGAGGACTGGCAGACAGACTTCACCCACATGCCAAAGATGAAGGGCATCCAATACCTCCTGGGATGGGAGATACTTTCACCAGCTGGGTAGAAGCATTTTCATGCCATACAGAAAAGGCATCTGAGGTAATAAAAGTGTTAGTTAATGAAACAACTTCCCACTTTGGTCTACCTAAGTACCTCCAAAGTGACAATGGCCCCTTGTTTAAGGCAGCTGTCACACAGGGATTCTCAAAGGTACTAGGCATACAGTATCATCTGCATTGTGCTTGGAGATCCCAGACCTCAGGAAAGGTAGAGAAAACAAATGATATTATCAAAAGACAGCTCAGAAAACTGTCCCAAGAGACTCACCTTCCTTGGGTTACTCCTCTCCCCTTAGCCTTACCGTCGGTAAGAAGTACACCTTCAAAATTAGGTCTGAGCCCTTTTAAGATGCTGTATGGATGGTCTTTCCTTACCAATGATTTTCTATTAAATTAGGAAATCTCTGAGTTGGTTGAGCATGTAACCTCTCTGGCTCCCTTCCAGCAGGAATTGACACAGCAAAAGCCCAGCTCCAAGAAATAGGATTACCTTTCTTTAACCTAGGAGATTTGGTATTGGTGAAACTCCCTCTTCTCTCTCTTCCTGACCCCAAGCTGAGAAGGGCCCTACACTGTTCTTCTTTCAACTCCCTCAGCAGCAAAAGTTACAAGTGTTAATTCCTGGACACATCACACTCCAGTCAAAGCCTGGAAAGCTGAGAGAGCAATCCCCAACAGCCCAGAGGAATGTCCTGGATATCAATGACAAAAAATAAGAGGTCTTAAGCTAAGAATCATAAAAGATAAGTAAACCAGTAAGGGCTACCCATCTTACTCAGTCCCACCTTTACCTCACCAGATACCTTTTGTCATTTCGACATTTCCTTTCGAGATTCGCCACCAGATATTAGAACTTCTTTTTAACATACATTTGCAGGGAGATTTTAATTATGCATGGGATTACATTAGTAACTTCATAGAACCCCAAGGATAAATTCTATGTCTTGGCGAGTAAAAGTTTTAGATGGAAATTCTCGGCTATACCACCTTTGCGGGAAATGTTATACGCACTCTACTATTTGCAATACAACTATGCATTGTGGCACCTGCAATGTGGAATTCCGGTTGGAAAATTCCAATTACTGTAATATTCTGCCTAATTATCATCTTTATAATAGAATTAATAATTACTGGAAAACTTTTGCCGATTATCTACTACACCCCTTTTGCGGGAATGTTATATGCACTCTACTATTTGCAATACAACTATGCATTGTGGCACCTACAATGTGGAATTCCGGTTGGAAAATTCCAATTGCTGTAATATCCTGCCTAATTATCATCTTTATAATAGAATTAATAATTTCTGGAAAACTTTTGCCAAAGGTAACAGCCACCCAATTCAATGACATTTATGCAAAGAAAAATGTTGCTTTTATATTAACGCTTCTGGTAAAGTAAGCGACACCTGGTGGAGGCAGACTAGTATTACAATCCATTAAAATGGCTAACAGGTATCAAACTCTACTGGCATGGTTATGGCCTATAGTACCCCAACTAATAATGGTAATCTTAACACTCATATTCAAACCCTGTATTCTAAACCTTCTTGTAAAATTTATCTCTTCTGGCCTAGAAGCAGTCAAACTTTAAATGGTGCTGCAGGCAGAACCACACATGGACACGCCTTTCTTCTGAGGACACTTAGATTGAACTCAGGAGGAGCCCTAGCTGCTGTCCCCACTCGATGCCCCATTTTCAGCAGGAAGTAGCCAGAAAGAGCCATTATCCAACACCCTCTAACAGCAATTAGGGTTACTACTCCTAAGGGGAGAAATAATACAGGAGCTAAAAAGAAATTATTCAAGCACCTAGTGAGGGTAAGGGAGTTCTCAGTAAGATTTTCCTTTTGTTAAAAAGCAGCCTCCAAATCATTTCTTGTCTAGCAAAAGCAGCCTGAAAAATCAAGCTGCAAGAATAGATAAGCAAGCTGGAAGCTTGCAAAGGTGAATGCCAGCAGCTGTGCCAATAGAAAGGGGAACTTGGAAGCCAGGTATATTAAACATGGAGGTTCCCTCTTCCCTTTTCTTTGTTACCATGTGTGCAACAAAAAAGCAGGCAATATGGTGCTGGCCAGGTGGAGACCCCATCTGCATAATAAAATATTAGGGTGGGATGGCCAGCACTTCTCATGCTATGTAAATGGCACACCTGGTCCAACCAATCTACTATGTCTGATATAAATCAGACACAGCCTCCTCAAACTCATCTATAAAACCAACCTCATCTTGCCCCAAACCCAGAAACCCATTCAGGACCCCTTCCTCTGCAAGAGGAAGCTCTCTTCTTTCTTTTAGCCATTAAACTTCTGCTCTTAACTCACTCCTTGTGTGTCCATGTCTTCAATTTTCTTGGCATGAGACAATGAACCTCTGGTATTATCCCAGACAAATGACAATGCTTCAGTGGTCCTCTCCTTGGCAGAAGGTGGCACCATGTGATTAATAGTGGGGAGGTGGATTTTCAAAGGAAGGATATTCTGTCTTTTCTATCTTTCTCTCCCTCTCTCTCTCTTTCTCTCTCTCACACACACCTATTTACATTCTTTTAGGCAGAAGATGATATTCTTTATTCTGTGCTCATATAGTGTCCTGTATATATCCTTAATTTCATTGTCATCTCTGTTTTCCTTATTTGCCTATAAATATCTTGAAGCCTAATCATGTATCTTATTCACTTTGGTAGCCCTGGCATCAAGCATAGTGTCTGGCATCCAATAAGTATCAATAAAAGTTGAATGTCCACAATAGGCAAATAAATGAAAGAAATGGTGTGTGTCAGTGGGGGGTGCAAAGGACAGGGAGAAGACATAATGAAACAGAATTTAAAGATAAAGCTAAAATCAAAGAAACTGACAGTTCCATTTGAGACTGGAAAAAAAGAGCAGAGAAACTCTCTGAGTATCAGGATATCTGATACAGTGAGCATGAAGTATGACCCCTGCTACAGAGGGTCAGAGCAAGGGAAATATGACAACATCTTTCAAAGAAATGGAGCTCATGTAAAACTGAAATACTTTTTTACACGTGTGTGTGTGCATGCATGAGCGAGGTGAGGCTTAACATTTATACTCAATTAGTCTTTCTTATTTTGAAATAAGGAAATAAGTATGAACTGGTTGTCTCTTCATAACAGATAAGTATTCCTGGTTAGCATTTGTTTACTCACTAGTTTTGTTTGAATATTGGTGAGGAGAAAATTGAGTTAAAATTAGGATTTATGTCTGTCATTGTTGATTTATTCTGTGTTTAAAGGAAAAAACAACAAAATAAGTATTAAAATAAAATATGCCCTCAAAGATTTTATTTTGAAGCCAGCTACCTTCGTACACTCTGAGACTTCATTATGGGGTTTGCCTTTATGCACTAATGAGTAAAATACATGGGATAAATCAGTAGCACCTGTGACAGAAGAGTCTGAGCACCATAGCAAATCAGTTAACTTCTGTTGACAATTGAGGGGTATAAGAAAAAGCTGTATCCTTTGCTTCACCATGATCCATTGAATCATCATTCTGCCTAGGTTTCTGGGACATGTCTAAGACTATTTGGCTAGTCTAGTAAATGGTAATTTACAGCCCCGTGCTTTTGCTGAAGTCAATATCAGGCAAACCAAGAGATCCCCAATGAACACATATCATAAACGACAGTGAAATACTTTTTTAAAACAAATATTCATTACTTTAAATGCTTACATTTAGGAAACTCAAGTTCACTTTTTTATAATGGTTAGGTTTTCCATATTATCATAAAAATCAATTTTCCAATTAATATTTCTCCCTTTTTTTCCCAAGAAGTCAGTAGCTCTTCATATCCAGCATCATGAGTCATCTCTGGGGACAGGAGTAACTGTGAGGCAGGAAAAGCACACTCTAGAAGAAATAAAGTATGTTAGGTCTTCAGACTTTACTCAGGTTCAAGATAGATATATATATGCCATTTTTCCAACTGTATACATAGAATTCTTAACTAATCCAAGATAAGTAGAGCATATCACCAGGTTCTTCAAATAGTTGCAATTTATCAGTCTAGTATTCATTCTATTCTCTATAATAAAATTCTTGATAAATCAAGGCTTTCAAATTCAGTTAAAAAAAGCCATAAGTCCGTAGGGGTGGTATCTCTTGGAATTTGATTCAACAGTACATTTTTAATATATCTTTTAAAAGGAAAAAGAATTTTAAAATCACCAGGAGGAAAAGCAGAGCATAAGACATTCACTGGATCCAGTCACATGTGTAAAGGCCCTTTACCAAGTCAATACTATTAAAGAGACTAGTGGTTGTGGCAGAAATTGTTTCTGCTTAGAAGGGAGGCAAGCCCGGTTCTAGTGTCCTCAGCACAGGCACAAACTCATAGCATAATGCCAGGCAAGTCATTTAACTTCCCAGAGTCTCATTCCCTTCATTGACAAAATGGGAAGATTGAACCAGTTGATTTCTCATTTGAACTATTTTCATATCCAGTGAACTCTCAGCTTGTCAGCTACTCAATTGCCATCTGCTTTTCTTCTCTGTCTTCCATCACCATTTAAACGACCTCCCATGTGTATCTCATGACTGGCTGATTGTTCCTTCTGCCACTCTTGGTGACGTACTCAACACAGTGCAGAGATAAGATACACTAGGCAAGATTAAGCGAGGTTGGCCAGCACACTCACCCAGGGAAGTCAGACAGGGTCTGTTTCCACCGCAGCACAGCAGTGAGCACAGCTAGGCAGAATTCCAGCAGAGTGCAAATTAGCATCAGAGACAGAGTTCCCTGAAAGTCAAGAAATAAAATATCGGTGGTGCTTGGATCAGCCGAAGCTTTCGTGCCTAGCTGAGAGGTGACCACAGAGAAGAAGACCACCTCAACCGTTAGAGAATGAAGTAACGACACCATCAAGAAAACAAAACTGCTCCTCCTCACAAATGTCTTAATTCAACTCCTTCACTCATTCATTTTCTTGAGAAGGGAAGATGAGTAGTAACTAAATCAACGAATCCACTCCATCCTCTTGTGTCTTACTTCTTTGAGACGTAGATAGTTCTGATGACATTGTTCACTCAGTAAGAGAGCAGAGTGGTGTAATAACTACCAGGACTGAGAATCAGCAGCTCCGTTCTAGTCTCACCTTTACTGTTGAGTAGCTGTGTAAGCCTGGACAAGTCTCTCTCTTTCTCTGGCTCCTGTTTTCTCATGTATCAAACATGCCTACTAACATTTTTTTCTCAGAGATTTGTGAGGATCAAGGAGGTTTTGGCTGTGTAAGCCCTTTGTAAAATTCAGTATTGACATCCCTGTCTATGTCACTGAACCCCTTTGGATGTTTTTTATTTTTATTGTTGTTTATTTTTTATTTTATTTATTTATTTATTTGGTGGCTTTAAGACTGGGAAAAACACCGTGAAGGTAGTAAACTGTCAGAGTTGCTAATCACCAACATCAACTCACAAGGATGGGTTCTACCATTTCTGTCCTGAGACATTCTTTGTGTAGAACTGGCCATCTGATGATAGAGTCAGATAATTTGATCACATGAACTTTTGTTTTGTGGTATTTACACACAGTTAAAGAGAAGATACACCTTGTGTCCATTACCTTAGAAATAGTTTCAGCAAGCAAGCTCAACAGAAGCTCTCTTGTTTTCAATGTAAAATCATCCCATCATCTTTATCACTACCAAATTTCTCTCACATTTCTCTCCAGAATTTTCCCCAAGGTGGAATGGCTGTGCCCGGTGTCAATTTGTGCCAACTACTGTCAGCCTCATTTGCATGCACTTTTTCCTCATTATACCGTTACCTTGGGAGGAAGGCCTACTTTATAATGGGTGCTGTACAAGCATGACTTTGTTTTATGATTGCAGGACAATAAATATTCTGCAACTTCTTTACTTTTATGTTGCCTGTTTTCCTCTCAGTGTATTGCTGACCATGCACATACCCCTTAATCTTTCAACTTCAGACATACTATTTCTGTTAGCCAAACTTAATTGTTTTTCTTCTTCCAAAGAGAGAATTCTCCTGCAATAATTATCAGTTACACTCTCCATCTCCCTGTATTTCTTTTTTTTTTTTTTTTTTTTTTGAGATGGAGTCTCGCTCTGTCGCCCAGGCAGGGGTGTGGTGGTGCAATTTCGGCTCACTGCAAGCTCCGCCTCCCAGGTTCACGCCATTCTCCCTCAGCCTCCAGAGTAGCTGGGACCACAGGCGCCCGCTACCTCACCCGGCTAATTTTTTGTATTTTTAGTAGAGATGGGGTTTCACCGTGTTAGCCAGGATGGTCTTGATCTCCTGACCCCGTGACTCCCTGTATTTCTTATCTCCTGATTTAATGTATCACACTTCTTTCAGCTATAACAAAAAGCAATAATAATGTTACCGTCTCACCTGATTAGTATTATTTATTATTGTAATCATTAGAAGGAGAAGCCCTTACCATCTAACCCCCTATTTCCTATTCTGTTTCTTCGTCTTTAGTCTGACGTCTTTTTAGACCAAACTGACCCCCTACCACACACACATACCACGTTTCCTTGTTGGCATTTTCTGATCACCCGGGTCTTTCTGCTCTGTTTGCCAATCTGAATTCACTACTCTATGTACCAACATTCTCAGTTTGACAAACTTGTAATTTATGCCTCCAAAATTAGATTAGTTTAATAATTAAGAAACTCTACAAACAATAAGTTTTAGTTTTTCATCATCAACCTTATTTGACATTTTCAATTCCACTCTATTAGTATGTAATCCCCTTAATCTCATCCATGCAGTCCCCCTTTGATTTACATAACCTTGGCCTTCCTCCATATGCCCAAACCAGAATTAACAGAGAGATTTTCAAAGGAAGGAATAATAAGAAATCAAGGCTTTCAGAAACCCCATAAAATTAGAACACCCCATCTAAAAAATGCTTACAGCCAGACTGGCTTTGGCTTTGTAGCAGTCCGTGGTGTAAGGCGAATTATAATCATCATAAGAAAGAAGAAGTCTGGTTGGCATATTCCTTTTGTCCAACTCACACTGCAGTGAGGCGGGATTTAATGCAGCCAGGTTGACAGACAGGAGAATGAAACCCACCAGGGCGAACAGAGCACTCAGAATGCTTCCAGCCAGGCTGCTATGCACCTGAAAGAGACATGCTCGTTAAGGATCATTCCCAATGAGCTGCGAATTTCTCTCACCCTTTTTTGCCATTACATTGCAAGTTATTCCCTTATCTGTCTCCCTCAGGAAGGCTGGGAAGGATCGTTTCTTGCTGTATGCCTCTCCATTGTCCAGCAAAAATCTCAGAATCTGCAACGTAAAACTTGGCTGAATGAATGAATATATGAACTGGTTCCCCTTAAACAGGACCTCAGTGGTGTGGTAGAGAATGTTACTCTCCTAAATTCTTTCCCTGGGACAGATAGCTGAGCCTCCACTAGGCTTGCCTGGAAAATTACTATGAGTGTGACCAAAAGCAAAGGTGGCAATGTACCAGATGCAGTTTCTCTCTTGGCCAACTCAGAAATCCCTCGTGCAAGCGTCAACCATACAGAAAAGGTGGATGGTGTATTAGCATGGTGCAAAAGTAATTTCGGTTTTTGCCACACTTTCAATGGCAAAACTGCAGTTATATTTGCACCAACCTAATAGCTCACTCTTGAATGCCCATTGCCTCTTTCAAAAGCACACCTCTTAAGGATGAGTGAGGGGATGGTTCTGAGTCTCAGGCAGGCCCTGGAACCTGGGCAGGCATATGATTGGCCACATTGAGTGCAGTATGGGGTGGCTGTGGGCAGAGGTCTAGGTGCAGGCCCAAGGATGGTGTAATGTGTGGGAGGCAGTGGGAAGTACAGGAAAAAGGTCTAGATTGTATATCAGAAAATTGAGGTCACCGTATAGACTTGACCCAGCTTGTTCCCTTGGGTACTCAGTTTCTTGGTTTTAGTTCCCACTCTGGTTCTCATTTCTACATTTATGAAACGAAGGGAGTAAATAAACTGACCTCAGAAGTGACTTCCTTTACTCCAACTCACACAGAAAAGAGAATTGAGCTAAGAGCATTCTGAAAGCTATAGTTACAGGTAGGCAGGCTCCAGGGCACACCCCACAGCCATACAGTAGAGAGTTATTTAATCCGATATGGGCACTTCTTCTTTTAGGAACTTACCAGTTGATGCTCTGGGACCCCAATTTCCCAACATAATGACTGACTCTATACTCTTGGGCCTCCTGGTAGCCAGTAGTAGTCTTGATGCCTAGAGTATGTATTTCTTAGAATGAGCTGGATTTGTCTTGAGATGGCACTCTTCTTCAGTCTCAAAAAGGGCTGGTACAATGTGTGAGAAGAGCAGAACTCACTAAAGCCTCAGTGTTTCTGGTGAGTGTGAGCCCACCCCGAGACCACATCCTGCATCCTTGAGCTTCCTGCATGTTCACTGTGGGATTGTTCTCTGGAGTAAAAGGCCCATCTATTTCCTCCTGAAAGTTTGAAAGCACTAAAAGTTTGTGCCAGGCTACTCAGTGTGGTTGCCAATAGCCACACGGACTATCTATATTTAAAGTAACATTAAGAGAAATTTTTATTCGGTTGCACCATCTGTATTTCACATCATCGACAGTCACATGTGACTGCCATGTTGTACAGTGCAGCTGTAGTGCATTTCCATCATCATAGAAAGTTACATTGCATTTCCATCATCATAGAAAGTTAAATTAAACAGCACAGATCTAGTTAGTAGTTCAGAGTCTAACTGAGGGTTCCAAATAATAATCTCTAAATACTGATGAGAAAAAAAATTGGTATTTTTCTGGGCACTCTTTCTCACTTCCTTGCTGACTTTGGGAGATTTCTGTAGCCAGAGCTTCTAAATTGAGTTTTGGTGCAATTGCATCATATGACGTTCTCTCACATCAGCCCCTTGAGGGATAATGGATTGAGTGAAGACTTAATGAAACTTTAGAGACAAGAGAAGATTCTCCGTATAATCCAGCCTTTATCTCCTTGCCACTTCCAACTCTAGTTTTTGCTGGAATAAGGGTTAAAGACTGGTAAAGCTTTTTATTTTCTTTTCTTAGCCAACACAAATGACTAGGGACAACTTTTTAGGGTGCAAGAATTTATACTCAAACAAAATAAAAGTATTATTCTTCTGGTGAGATAGATGAAAGACTACACTCAGCCAGCACTACCCAAAACGACTGAAGTCCTCAGGGAGAAGGAAAATCTGAGACAGTCTAAAGGAGCCCGAGGAGACATCATGCCTAAATGTAATGTAGTATACTATAGCAGCCTCTGTGTCTACTTTGGATACCTCACATGAACAAAACTTGGACTCATTTTTTTTTCAAGGGTTGTAACACCTGGGCTTAAAGAGTGGACTCCAACCAATAGACCTCTTTATAACACTGTCAGCTTCCTTGCCACTGAAAACCTGAATTTGAAGGCCAATTGTCACCGAAAGGACATCATAAACAGTCACAATTTCTCTGTGATAGATTCTTCGTCATGGGCAGAGGGAATATTATAATTCTCTGAATGCAGACTTTGATGTAGGGTACAATAATCGGATAAATGTGCTCTGAACAAGGATACAGAGGATCCAGGCCCAGCTCCTAACTCTAACAACTGACTGCTCTGGAACTGAGTTTTCAACTTTTCAAAATAGAAAGACTGGCCTTAACGAGTTCTGTCTAAGTTTTATTTTGATCCATTGGGTTGTGGGTTACAGTTCTCATACTCACCAAAAGCTTGGTTAACCTTTTCTCTGTGGCGATTGATAGAGAGCCAGAAATGATAAACTAAGATAAAAGAGAAAATGGTCAGGTCACTTTCCATGTACAGAGTAACTGCAATGTCACTATCAAAATGTTTATAGAAAACTGTCATGGGAAAAGCCTTGAGAAACCAGTGATCAATGAGGTAAGTTCCATTTAAAGACATATATTTGTCCCTTTGTCCATATAACATTCAGATAGCATCAGAAAAAAAAGATAACAGAAATATATCCTGATAAACAAAAAGTATCCCACTAAACAAACAAAAAAAATACTTTAAAAGTCAGGAAAAAATTTTTGTTTTTTTAATAAAATGAGACAGTTTTGGTGTAAAATGTTCTCTAGGGAAGGACATGAATGCAATGGTTAAAAAAACAAAAAAAACCAACCAAACAAATAAAAAGTAGTAATTTAACAGAGGAGAAACCTGGAAAATACTACCCCAACCATATGATCACCGTTAATTGTGTCAGTGACATTATGTTGGTAGCGTGACCGTTGATACGACTTGATGAAAATGGTGCTTTACCTCGTCATCATCAACCAAAAATTCACCACCACACTCTAAACATCAAAAAAAAAAATCAGACAAACCCAAAATTAGGAACATTCTATAAAAATCTCAGCCAGCACTACCCAAAACTATCAGAGTCCTCAAGGAAAAGGAATATCTGAGACAGCCTAGAGGAGCCTGAGGAGACATCATGACAAAACGCAATGTAGTGTAATACAGTAGCCTGGCATGGATCTTGGAACAGAAAAAGGTCATTTGGGGAAAACCAATGAAATCCAAATCCAAGTGTAACTTTAGTTAATAAGAGAAGAAAAATGGACAAGATACACAAAAAGGTGGACTTCTTGGTGCATCAAATACACAAATGTAAGAAAAACAATTAGCTACCGAATTGCAGGAAGTTGAAGGAAAAAACATCTATGAAAGGGAAGCTTAACTATGAGAAAGCCTCCATCTAAGAGAAAGCAGTTCTCTGAGAAAAGGACTAAGTTCTTATGAAACTCCAGACTTGCAGCTATTTCAGAGGCATTTCCTGTCAATCACTGGGCATAGCTATTGGCTCAGCCTTACCCGGGAATCAGTCAATGCAGTAAAAGTATTTTCAAAATGCCCGGAGATGTAAATTTCCTTCCTCCATGATCCCCACAAGCATGGGGGGATCACAGTGTGGTTTCTCTGTGAGGGTATGATGTCTTCCATTGATGCTCATTTTTTTTTTTTTTTTTTTTTTTGGATAAAATGTTCCTTCCCAACTTTATCCTAATTCATGGATTTTTTTTTTTTCGCCTAAACCTGGAGAGAAGTCACTAGCTTCATCATAGCTCAAGATGATAACTTGAAAAATAAGATAATCTTAAAAAGAAATGCTTATTTGTGTCTGATAAGAAATTGATCTAAAATCAGGCAACCCCTGTCATCCTACCCTACTCAGTCCTTCCTGAACTACACACACAGGAGAACAAGCTTCACCGTTGACTCCTTGCTCCTGGCAGATCAAACATAGCAAGGTGGCAGGTGGAAAGTCTAAGCTATTGGCATCTTCCTCCCCTCTTCGCCACTCCTGCCCTCCTCAGAAACTCTACTCACAAAAAAGGGTCCTATGAATGGGTAAGCAGAGTTCAACAGTGTAGAAGTCACTTGGGTAAAATTTGGAGAGAAGGAAGCAGATGCCAACATGATTCCGAAGCTCAACACCATCATGCCACAGAAGATCTGGACAGTCTGTGGGAAGAGAAAGGGAGATTGAGGATGAAAACCAGCATTTGTAAAGACAGGGCCTTTTTGCCTCTCCCATGGCTCTAACACATTATCACTTTCTGCAAGATCCCAGTGAGGATACAAACACTGTGGAAACTCTGGAGTGAGAAACAAGAAAAGACACCCTGGAGGGTGTGCGGCTCTGCCACAGAAGCCACAGTCTCGGGTGTCTGGCAGGTGCTCAGGAAGGCTTCTGCATTTCTGCCTCTCAGGTCCTGGTCTGCTCATGGCTCCTGCTTCCAGCGCACAGCAAGTGCTGGGATTTCCTTTCCCAATTCTCAGGACCTCTGAGTCCCTGACTAGTTAACTGGCTTCCTACCTCCCTGAAAACAAGGGGCACCTGAAAGCCCCCACATTCCCTGCAGTATTGGCGGTGCAGAAGTCCCTCCCCTCATCTCCGAGACTCCACTGGACATGGAGTTTGCCCCTCTGGTCACCTCCTTGGAAACTGCAGTTCACAAACCAAAAGCTGAAGTTCTGGAAGCTCTATTTTTTATTTTTAACTTTTATTTTAAGTTCAAGGGTAAAAGTGCAGGTTTGTTACATAGGTAAACCTGTGTCACGGGGGTTTGTTGTACAGATTGTTTCATCACCCAGGTATGAAGCCTGGTACCCATTAGTTATTTTTCCTGATCCTCTCCCTCCTCCCATCATCCACCCCCCGAAAGGCCCCAGTGTGCCTTGTCCCCTTCTACGTGTCCGTGTGTTCTCATCATTTAGAGGCCATCACACTTAGCAAACTGACAGGGACAGAAACTAAATACTGCATGCTCTCACGTCTAACTGAAGCTCTGTCTTAGGAGGTAGTTTCCCTCCTGGACGTCCACCTCAGAGATTCACAGCTCTATTATCATTTACCAATAAGTTTTCTAGACCTTATGTCACATGAGCCTCACAGAAACCCACGTGATTGTACATGAGGCAAGGAAACCAGTCCCACCAGGCCCCGAAATCCAGTCAAACGGAGTGCCTCACCTCAGATCACATAAGTGCAGAGGCAATTCTAGAAACCAAAACTCTGCGTTTCCCTCCCAATCCAAGATAGATCCCTTCTTTCTCTCCTCCCTTCATGCAATACAGCTTCTTTAATAAACTCTGGATGAGAGGAGAAACAGACAAACAAAAGGTGAATATCATTTCCATTCTCAAAAAGGTAAGGAGAAAAGAGGGAGAGAAAGTGGATTTTTTCTGTAGTTTGCAGTAAGGGAAAAATTCCTTGCAAAGAATCAGTGTGGATTATTAAGCATGCAGTTGTGAAATACAGAAAAATGTATATACAATGTATAATTATTTACCACCATTACTTTTGTAAAAGAAAATATAGAGAAGCACTGTACTGCAACAAGACAAAGACAACAACAGAAAATCAGTTCCTCATCTTCAGAATAAGGGAAAAAACATTTCTAAGACAACCTCTTGTGGAAAAGTTGTGGGACAGTTTTCTCCAAGTGGCCTCTACTCCAAAGTCCCTCTGGTAAAACTTAAGGGTCTCCACACTCAGGACAGATGACCAGTCCCAAGACATATGTCATCTCTTCCCGCTTCCCCCAACCCCTCTCCAACATGTTCTGAATTAGATTTACCCCAATAACTTTGACTTCTGCCTGTAGACGTTTCTTCAGGCTATCCTGACCCTGGTTGGTGGGTTCGGGTTTCTCTGCTTGGGAGAAGTTGATGACATTTGATGGGAGCACTATCATGGTCTCATTGGGAACAGGTTGTGATGTCATGATGGTGTTGCCAACTATGGAAGAAAAAATAGATTCAGCTCTTAAAAAATACAGAGCTCCCAGGTTCTGGCTGCAAAACTGGTAAGTCAGTTTCTAAGTCAGTCCAGACTTGGCCTGTCTGTTAGAGAAAGAAACTGATAGTATGGAACAGTGAAAACCACACAACCTTGGTTTCATGAGGATTTTTCCATAATGCTTGACAGTCCATTATAGATAATAAACACATCACAGGGTGGCAGCAACGTGAATCTTGAGAGGCCCCAATGTTCAGAGGCAAAGGGTCACACAAAATTTGCAATATACAGCAATGTCCCTTTGCCCAGTCCTACTGACAGCAACTGTATTGCCATTCATTTAATGAATTTTTTAGACAACTGCACTCTGCTCATTTTGTCTGTCTATTAGCATTCATCTTAAATATGTTTATCATATTTTACTAGACATGCTCTTAGTTCTTATGCAGTAGTTTTAATCCTTACCACAGCTCTGCATGTTAGTAAGTTAGCAAAAACATGTAATAAATAAGAACACTGAAAATAAAGTTTGAGTTATGAATGCAAGTAACATACATGCTGCATATGTGTGTGGCATAGAGTTAATGCTGAAGAAATATTTGCAGTTATCCTTATTGTTCAACCCTGTTCACACGGCTGGGAAGCTGTAAAGCCAGTTTTGGATCTCAGCTTCCCTTGAATCTGACGCCTCCGCATAAATCTCTAGATCATTCCACCTCTTCCTACCTTCCCACCTGGCAATGCCAGTCTGTGTCTGAGTTTACTCAGGTTGGAGAAGCAGCTATATGTAGTGGTATGAGAACAAGTCTTGGAGTCATAACACATAGGCTCGCATCCTGGATCCTCCTCCGGTTAGCATTAAGACCACATTGGCTGTGGTATTTGTTGCTGAACTCAGTTTGGATCTCTTTTCACTGCACCATTCTCAGCCCACAGACTGCCCAGTGTGCAAATGGCCTAAGAACATTTGAAGAGACAAGACCTCTGCTCCCATTAATTACACAGTCTTAGGTAAGTGACTCACAAAGATCATGCAGTTAGAATTCAGAAGAAACAGAGTTAAAACCAGATACTCCTCCCATTTGCCCACTCTATTTCCAAAGTGCCCTAGTGTCTCTTAACTGCTGTCAATGAGTTTCAAGTCAAATTACTCCTCTAATGATGTCACAGCAAGGGAACGGTGAGATGAGAAAAGACTTTCAGCATTATCTACCTGTGGCCATTGGTTCCAGCTGAGTCCTCAGAAGCTCCCAGGAGGGAGCTAGAGTCTGTCTGGGTTCTCAGATAGTCCCATCAATGATTTCTACATACCTTCATCTTCTGAAAGTCATCAGCCCTTTCTTATTCCAGTGTTTGCAGCCATACAGGATGTGCAACTTACAGGTTGTACATTTGTGAAATATGCCTGCACTTCCTTTTCTATAAACTTCTAGCAACTTCAGGAAAATCACAAAAAGAACCAACTTATGACTGTGAGAGTTCAGGCATCCCAGAGCTTTATGTGTGAATTGCCAGTTTGAGACTTACAAGTTCCCTGTTATTCATCCAGTCTGTTCTTGGAGCCTCATTTTTCTAATGTGTTAAATAGAGGAGCAATACCAACACTGGAGAATTGTCATAAACATGAGCAAAAATGCTTATAAAAAGCCTATGCTGCTTTGAAGCTTTCAATCATATGTAACTAATAAAAGTAATATTGCTAGTCATCATAACATAAATAAATAACAATATTCCATTGTATATAAGTAACCATAATAATCACAGCAATAATGATGATATTGCTTTCAATTAACATTTAATATATAGCTAATATATAGCTAATAATATAATATATAGCTAATACATAGCTAATAATAAATAATATATAGTAACATACAGCTAATAATAGTGATATAGAACACAGAAAAAGCTTTCCTAAAAATTTTTTTGTTTTGTTTTGTTTTTTTAGTTTTGTTTTTCTTTTTCTAGTTCCCTAAGCTCTTGGCAGGTTGAAAGCAGCCTTTCAACATCATTGCCCAACTGCTGCCTACTCTAAAGTCATCTTCTTCCTCTGGCTACTTTCTTTCTCTAGCAACATCTTTGTCTTCCAGAAAGGTTGGGCCCCTCTAGGGAAGTATTGAAATATTGAAATGGAGAAGGAACAAATGGGAAAGATTCAGCAGGACCTAAATGAATTCAGCAAACTCATATGCAGGCTGGTTTTGTGAGGACAGACCCACTGTGCCCTTCAAACCCTTGGCTGGGCATTCTTTTGAAGCTGACCTCAATATATCAGGCAAGGAAACCAGAGTCAGCCAGGGTGATGGCAAAGCCCCACCCTGCCAGCTTCCTTCCTCCTTTCCTTGGAGGAGCTGCCAGAATGAACCCAGAAACACAACCTGAACCATCACCGTCACCTCAGAGGGCCATGGGTTCTGCACTTAATTCCACACATTAACTCTTCTGTTGAAGAAAGGAGTTAAGAAACACCATTTAGAAGGCTGGATTCGTTCTCAGGGTCTGAATGACACAGACATTACGAAATATAATTGACTTGCCTTGAGTTCTAAAAGTGAGTCTGAGAGGGGGAATGGACTCACCGAGAAAGCCTGGGGAGAGGGGCAGAATCACCTCCAACCTTGCTCACCCGCGCTCCTGGTGCCCCTTCCCCTTTCACAGAGTGCCGGCTGTGTTTCCGGTGGGTGCCCTGCATCTTTGCCACCCTCACAGCATCTGTGAAACACTGGAATGCAGCTCTCCACCTGAGCTTTGATTAAAAGCTCTTTTGGTCTCTCTTCAGGAGCAATCATACCCCCTTTCCCTTCCGGGGAATGTGCTAATAAACCAGTTAAAGTTGCCTACCCAAGCAAAGACTCCCTCTCCAGTCTGTGCTATTTAATTTAAAATGATTTCTGAGTTTTAAGGATTATGTGAAACAATAGGTGTAAGGTGCTTAGCACAGAACCCTACAGAATTTGACCTAAAAGTGGTCTGTTGACTGTCTTTCCTCCCCCAACCTTCCTTTTTTTCCATTTTGGCTTCAGTAAGTTCCAAACAAGACTCCTCTAGTCTTTCAGCTTACACTCATTCAGTCTTTTACATTCCCAGTTTTTTCCAGAGTCTGAGCTCCACCAACCTAACTAGAAGGGAGAAGTTATATATCAATAACACATTCTGATTAATAATATATATCAATAACACATTCTGATTAATAAGCTAGGACAGGTTTCTCAAATAAGCTACTAATGCCATTTTGGACGGGGTAATTCTTTGTGGTAGGCAACTATCCTGGGCACTATAGGATGCTTAGTGGAATCCTTGGCCTATGCCAGCACAACCCCACCCTATATGTAACAACAAGAAACATCATCAGATATTGTCAAATGTCTCTTGATGGAGGGAGAACAAAATCTCCTCACATCCATGTTGAGAACCACTGACCTAGGAGCAAAAGGGTTTTGTGTCTTCTGTGTAAAGGCAGGTGTGCAAGAAACAAAGCAATATTCTCTTTAAATCAATTTTTAATTTTTATTTTTAAAATTTTAGATTGTTGTATAAAACACGTATAATTCATTATCTTGACCACTTTTTAGTGTACAGATCCGTAGTATTATGTTCACATTGCTGTGTAATAAATCTCTAGAACTTTTTCATCTTGCAAAACTGAAATTCTATACCCATTGAACAACTACCCCTCTCCTTCCTGTTCCTAGTCTCTGGTAACCACCATCCTACTTTCTGTTCCATATTCATTCTGTGTCTACTTTGGATACTTCATATGAGAGTGACACAGTAACACCAGGGTCCTTGGTCGAGACCAAGGACCATGCTGTTTGGATAAACGACATGGAGACATATGGAGTGGTTTTAAGGAGCAGATAATGTAATACGCAAGAAAGAAGAAAACAGCTCCCCCATACAGAGACAGAGGGAGGGGGTCTCCAAACAAAGAGAAACCAGGTGTGGAGCAGAACAGTAGTTGGTTATATTGGAGGCTGGAAGAGGTGGTGTCTGATTTGCATAGGGCCCAGGGGATTGGTTTGATCAGGGGTGTCATTCATGTAGCCCACGAAAAACATTGCCCTTTCACCTTAGCCCTTTAATATGCAAATGTGGGTCACCATGATGTCCTGAACACATGTGAGTAATCTGGAGGTGGCCATCACATTGGCACATGTGGTGACAAGGAGAAGAGGGCGGGAATCGCCATGTTGCCCATTTTAGGTGGACCTTGTTTCTACTCACCAGCATTTGGACATCAAAGCTTGCCAGCCTGGCTCTTTAAGTTGCCTTTTCTGTTAGAAAAAAAATGGTTCCAGGGGTTGCTTCTTATTACAGGAAAATTCCCACTGAGAAACTGTAACTTTTCTAGCTGCCTAGGAATTATTTCTTAATAACTTCTTTATTAAGAGGAATCATACAGTATTTGTCTTTTGTGATGGCTTATTTTACTTAGCATGAGATTGAAACTGCCTTTGCAGAATTATGACCGAGACAGTGGAAGAGATCTAACTTAACTGACTCCATCTTGCTTCTAACCTCCAAGCTGTCCTTGTTCATTCCTCAGGGAAGGGTGAACTAACTTTGGGAGAAACTTAGTTTATAGTTTCAACAAAGATGATCCACAGCAGACCTCCTTCTTGCCTGGAGACTAGATTGCCTTTGTAGGACTAACATTAGCCACAGGATTAGAAATTATGGTTGAGGAGTCATGCAGCTGGAGGCTACAAGATTCTGACCCTCCCTAAACTGCTCCTAAGATCAGAGCTTGAGATAGTTTGCAGACCCTTCCCTTGATGGATCTGCTGGCACCACCCAGATCAGTAAACTGGCTCATCTGATCTTCTAGCCCCCACCCAGGAACTGATTTAGTGCAAGAAGACAGCTCCGACTCCCTATGATTTCATCTCTGACCAGTCAGCACCCCTGGCTCACTGCACTCGCCCCATCCACCAAGTTATCCTTGAAAACTCTGCTCCCCAAATGCTCCAGGAGACTGATTTGAATAATAATAAAACTCCAGTCTCCCACGCAGCCGGCTCTGCGTGAATTACTCTTTCTCTATTGCAATTCCTCTTCCTTTTTTTTTTTTTTTTTTTTTTGAGACGGAGTCTCGCTCTGTCGCCCAGGCTGGAGTACAGTGGCCGGATCTCAGCTCACTGCAAGCTCCGCCTTCGGGTTCACACCATTCTCCTGCCTCAGCCTCCCAAGTAGCTGGGACTACAGGCGCCGCCACCTCGCCCGGCTAGTTTTTTTGTATTTTTTAGTAGAGACGGGGTTTCACTGTATTAGCCAGGATGGACGGGCGGATCACGAGGTCAGGAGATCGAGGCAATTCCTCTTTCTTGATAAAGCAGTTCTGTCTAGGCAGCAGGCAAAGTGGACCCCTTGGGCTGTTACAAGATCCCCAAGTTTCATCCATGTTGTAGCACATGATAGGATTTCCTCTTTTGTAAGGCAGATTACAGTTTCATTGTATGTATATACTACATTTTCTGTATTCATCCATTGGTTCACATTGAGGTTGCTTCTACCTCTTAGCTATTGTGAATAATGCTGCAATGAATATGGGTGTGTAAATATCTATGAGATCATGTAACTCATAGATATTTATTTCTTTAAAGTTAGTTTCTGGAGATTTATTGTGTTCCTTTGGTTGGGCCCTGTTTTCCTATTTCTCTGTGTGCCTTGTGATCTTTTATTAAGATTCAGGCATTTGAAAAATACACCCAACCTCCTCCAGTCATTACAGACTGGCTTCATACATTGGAAGACCTTTATTGGTTAGCATAGCTAGAGATTCTAGGGGCCCTTCAAGCTTTTTCTGGGCTTGTGTGTGTCATTTCCCAGTTAAAGAGGTTTGCTTGCTTCCTGTTTGGAGCCTGGAACCTCTTTCTCCCCCTGGTGTCTGCCTATAGTACTACAATCTCCCTAGTGCAGAAACAGGGTGCTTGCCTTTGTTCTCAGAGGCCCCCAACATGGCCTTCAAACTCTGCACTCTGAGTCAGGCAAGACAGAAACCAGTGCCTTGGGCAACCCCCCAGAAACCCAGAATGCTGGACTCATGGCCCACTCCTTTTGCATCCCTAAGGGAGAAGCTGGGACTTAAGTGTTTTCTCCAGATCAAGTCTCACTGTATCAGGGTGAGAGAGGTTAGGACGAGTAAAATACCACGACTTTTTCTACTCATTTTGATGCATCTTTTCCTGGCTCTGCACTCATCTGAGGTGCTCCCTAGTTCCTGTGGCAGAGATCAAAAACAGATATTTATGTTTGACAACAAAGAAGTTAGAGATAACATTTGGTGTTTCTCTAACAATATATACAACTCTCTGTGCACATTCTCCATAAAATATCTCTTGTTCCTGCAGGTCCATGGGCAAGACCCTCTCCCTGGCATTTCTAGTTC